CTCCTCCTCCTCCTCCTCCTCCTCCTCCTCCTCCTCCTCCTCTCGGGGATGGACAGACCCCCCTTTAGTAAAACGTGGTTTAGTGAAAACGACCTGAGGCCCAAACCTGGCAGGCGCAAGCCTGGAAAATAACGGCCACGGCGCCATCTCGAGAACCGAAAACGGACAATTCACTAATCGACGTGTCACCGTTGGGGGTTCTGTCCACCCCGTCCTCCCTCCCTGCCTCCTCCTACTCCTCCTTCTCCTCCACTTCTCCTCCTCCTCCTCCTAGCCTCCCTCCTCCTCTATCATATCCTCCTCCTCCTCTCCTCCTCCTCCTCCTCCTCCTCCTCCTCCGGCTCCTCCCTCCTCGAGCGTAGCCGGGGCGGGACAATCAACGACCTACCTACTTACCCCGCCGGCCGAGCAACCTGGAAGCGGGCCAACCTGATGCAGGCCGCGCCGCACCTGCCGCACAGTGGAATCGGGTCGGACCTGATCAAATTATGGGGACACACAGCATATACAATGACGATGACCGAGGCGCGAGATGGTTGAACAAGGCCGAGGCGAGCAATGGGACAAGCCGGGAGCGGAGATACGTGGGCGGCACGGGAGAGGAGATCAAGGAATACAGGGCAACACCAAAGATGACGGAAGGAATGGTACAGCTGAGAGTAAAATGGGCACGGCTCAAACTCTTGAGCAGTGGAGGATGTTGCCCCGGCTCCACACAAGGTTCTGACGATGGCGGCACACCGGGAAGGAGGGAGGGAGAGGAGAGAGGAGCGAACTTCATTCCACGGAAGCAGGGTAATGGCAGGAATGCTCTGGGGAAACCATGTCGAGAGGCGTCGAACAAACAGATGTTGCAGGTTATCAGGATAGATATGATAGTGCAAAAAACTGGCGGGAAGCCGTTGAGGGTGGAGACGGTGGAGATGGTGAGGAGGGAGAGAATGCTGACTTTGATAATCTTGTTGAATAGCACGATGACAGTGTTGAGAAACTTGAGGAACGACAGCAGAACCCGCTTAGAAGCAGCAGCCATGGTACCTGCAAATGGTGGTGACTCCGAAAGTGTCGGCCAATGCTGAGGGCACCAGACGGCAGGCCAGCTCCTCCCACGAACAATGGTGACGATAGGCAGACGGCCGTCAGCATTCGAGCGCAATCTGCCCATGAAAGGCTCCGCGTCTGCGAACATAAACGGATGGAGCGGATGAGCTGCGCGAGGTTGAGAACCCATGCAGACGCGATGGTGGGCCCCCCCCACCCTGCGCTTGCGAATTTTGGGCCAGCCCGCGGCATCAACGCGACAGCAGGGAAACTTGCACAGGCTGGCGAGCATGGCGGTGTCCTTCTTTTTCATGAGCGGGGGGGGAATCCTTTGGAACTGTCCAGCGTGCGAGAGCGCCGTGAGAGCCGCGCGAGCTTACATGCTGGCCGTGAAAGTTAGGAAACGGGGGGGGGGGGAAGCGGGGCCGTCGCCCGCAAGTTGGAGCGCATCGACACCCAGCGGGTCATTTTTTCCAAGCAGCGCAAGGGATTTCGCCAGGCCCCCGAAAGCTGGGGGGGTTGCCGGTCGAGGTATTCCTTGACGCAAAGGCAGGTGGGGGGAGGGGGGGGCTCGCCATTCAGGCGGGGGGGGGGATTGGTCCAGGAACGCCTCGGCTCGGCCTCCGCTCGGTGGAACTCCTCAACAGTAAAATCGGCGCCCAGTGCTGGCTCAAACTAGCTGGGATCCCAGGCGGAGACTGCGCAGTCGCTGCGGGATCGGCTTTGACTCCAGTCAGCGCGAGCCTCCGATCAAATGGGGGCCAGAGCTTCGCGGGGCGATTGAGACGGCAACCGCGGGAGGCCACCCTCGCGATCGCATTCGGGTGATGAAGGCTCGCAGCGCGGGCCTGCGTCCGACGCTGAGAGCGGGCGGCAAGCTTGAAGCGGAGGTCGTTGGAGGGGGTGGTGGAGGCGGAGGAGTCGCTGAGGGAGACGCAGAAGGCGGAGCAGTCGAGGGAGAGGCGCTCGCGGCACAGCGGGTGCAAGCGGAAGAGCTCGCAAGCGAGGGCCCAGCCCTGACGGAAACGAGCTCGTGCCATTACTCGGACCACCACGCGACGCGAGAGTAGAGGTTGGGGGCGCGCCTGCATAGCGATGTCCCGCGCGTGTTTGGAAGCTTCCGCGATGAGGAGTTCGCAGTGGTCGCGGGCAAGAGGGGGGGGGCGGTCGAAAGGGGCGCTCTTCACTGCCGAATCCATGAACGCACGGAATGGCTTGGACTCAGAAATCTCCTCCGGAATCGGCCTGTCCCCAGCCGGCAGAGGAGGGCGAACTCGAAAGCTAGCAGCCGCCGGGGCATGGTCGGAGATGCACTCCACGTCAGGCGTCCCAGGGCGTTCGCAAACTTCGCCGGCCGAAGCGCATTGCGAGAAGATCCAGCCAGGCACCGAGGTGAACATCTGATTCAGGAAGCACAGCTTTTGCGGGGCACGATTAAAGTGGGATTGGGAAAGAAGTTCGAACTCAACGGCGTGGATCAGGGCATCCCGCCACTCTTCGTGGAGGGGCTGGGGGTGCGCTCGGAGAAAGCCTCAAAGTCGCCGCCAGAGGAGAGATGGGGAGAGAGTCGTGCGAGGTAAGGCTTAGGTCCCCGACAATGGCCAAAAGCTTGTCGAGAGGATCCTGCCGCGCCTCGGCCAGAGCGGACATGAGCCACTGTAACAAAACTGACGTGTCATCCCCCGAGAGCCGGAGTGGAAAGTGAAGGGCTTCGCCCAACACCGATCAGTCACGGCCCTCATTTCCGTGAGAAGTGCGCGGCCGTCAACGCAAGAGGAGGAGGAGAGGAGAGGGAGCTCGCCACCCGCCACATCAAAACGAACCCTGGAGCTTCGGAAATTCTGGCCAAAAATCAGCACATCTCCAATACGGAAATTCTCTTGAAACGAAAACGAGGCGCGAAAGGGGAGGTATAGGGAGTGCAGGAGGTCGTGGACATCGCATGGGACACTACACGTTTCTGGCATGACCACTATGTTTCCAGCCTTGAGGAGTCTCTTCAGACGCTACATCTTCTTGAGACGCAAGCTGCTATCACGATGAAGAAGAGAGCTGGCATTCCACGAGGCGGTCTTACGAGAGAAGACGCAACTATCCTCACACCGTCTGCTCCCATGCCAAAGACACGAAAGCGCGCTAGGGGTTTCACACTGTGGGCGCCGCTGGGCCGAAAGAGTCCTGCACGATCTGGTGAATGCGAGCTGCGTCCATCTGTTCAGCGACGAGGTTGGCGCCCGCTCGCTGGGGATCAGAAATTTCCAGACCCTCGACAGGGAGCACCTTACAGACAGAAGGGGGTTCCAGCCAGCAAGGGCCTCAGCCTTAAATTTGTCAATTGAGAGACGCTTGCGCGAGTGGTCACTGAGGATCGCAGACTTGACCTTCTTGCTGCCCAGCTCCCTGCAAACCGAACCATGAACGTGTTCTTGTCGGGGCCGAAGTAGAGAGGACAGGACCATCGGCGACCGAGTCGGTGACGCCACAATGGCGGAGAGATACCTGGGCCAGAGGCCTTAGGGTTGCCGATGGCCTGGCTGACCTTGCGCTCGGCGTACGCCTTGGTGCCGTTGAAGCGAATCTGGTAGCGGAGAGACGAGGGCTGCTCTTCGTCGAATTTCCATTCGTCGCGCTTGATGTTGGCATCCTGAAACCATGGAGCAATGGCCTACTCCACCGCCTGTTTCGAGACCAGCTTTGGGGCACGTGCAACGATGATGGAGTTGTCAATCGGTCTGTCGCACGAGCTTGTCGCGGAACGGGGAGGAGGTTGAGGCTCTGCACTTCTACCAACTAACAGCTCGCGACCGAAGCCTGCCATCTGCTTGTCCAGGGCGGCGATGCGGTCGGTATGCTCGGAGGCGATCTGCTCCACACCCACCAAGCGCGTCTCCATCTGGCGGTTGAGCACGCCGAAGGAGGAGTTGATGCTGGTCAAGAGGTTGGAGATACGATTCGTGACGCTGGACTGCACTGTTGCCAGCGCGCGCTGCATGTCGGCCTGGATGGAGTCAACGAGCTGGCGGAGCTGCACCATCTCAACTGACGGTTGCGGATCGGAGGGGCCGCCGGCGTCTACGGCGGGGGCGCCTGCCACGCTCCTGCTGCCTTGCGCACCAGAATGACGCTGTCCACAAGGAATAGCTGGGGCCTGGCGCATGGACGGTTGCGTGTCCATGTCCTGGGAGGATGGGCCAACCACATGGAGTCCATCACCACTACCAGGAAGCACGTCAGGAGGAGGTTGCCCAACAGCATGAGGATCTGCCCGCTCCTGCAAGGGGAAGGTCAGCATGAGGAGGATCAGCTCGTCAAGCGTGGCGGCGTTGTCAACATTGGCGGCTGAACACATCGTTCGTTTCAGCGGAAGCTGGGGCACCCACAACGATGAAGAAACCCGGGGGAGGTGTCCGCCAGCACAGGACACGCTGGAAAGCTCATTGGAGTTGCCCGCTCAAAAAATGGGACCTATTCCCACCTTGAGCAAAAATGGCAACGGACCTCCTTCTACACCTCATCCTCGTCGTCCTCCTCCTCCTCCTACACCTCCTCCTCCTCCTCCTCCTCCTCCTCCTTTTCCTACTCCTCCTCCACCTCCTCCTCCTTTTCCTCCTCCTCCTCCTGCTCCTCCTCCTCCTCATCCTTTTCCTACTCCTCCTCCTCCTCCTCCTCCTCCTCCTCCTCCGACTGATGGCGGTGGTGGAGAACAAGCGCATCAGCGGGGCCAGAAGCCCAGGGCGCCCGAGGTCTGTCGGGGCCACCGAGCGGCCTGGCCGGTGCCCGGCGCCAGCGAGGGGCTGCCCGGCCTGCCGCGGCCTGCCGGGCAGGCCCACCGAGGCCGTCGCCGTAGGCGTCGCGTCGGCCTCGTCGTCGTCGGCGGCGTCGTCGTCGGCGTCGTCGTAAACTTCGTCGTCGTCGTCATCCTCCTCCTCCTCCTCGTCGTCGTCGTCGTCGGCGTCGTCATCGTATACGTCGTCGTAAACGTCGTCGTCGTCGTCCTCCTCCTCCTCCTCCTCCTCGTCGTAGTCGGCGTCGGCGTCGGCGGTGGCGGCGTCGTGCCTTGAGATCCTGGCGCTGCAAGTTTCCCGAGTTGTCCCTTCATTTTTCGGGCCCGGAGACCCTCGCAGGTCGATCGGGCCAGAAAAATGACGCAGACAGATGGGGTCTGGAGTTCCAGTCGTTTTTGTTGGCGATGTTGCAGTTGTGAACGTCGTTGTGAACGTCGAAAAACGAGGATGACAACGACAGCGACGACGACGGTCGTCGACGTAAACGTCGTCGTCGTCGTCGAAAACGTCGTCAGCCTCCGTCGTCCTCCCTCATCCTTTCAGCTACACGCCAGATTGGCCCTGGGAAAGGGTGACCTCTGGTGCACGACTTTCGGGGGCCGCGGGGGGGCCAAAGCCGGAGCGCGCAGGCCGCTGCTATCGCATCGAATTCAGCCATCCGCGGACCCCACTGAGCCCGCACCAAAGGTCACTCCGCCGAAAGGTCACTCGTAACAAATAGTCGACCCTCGCTGTCGTTGTCATCCTCGTTGTCGTCATCGTCATGATCCTTGTCGTCGTCGGTTTCGTCCTCGTCGACCGTCGTGGTCGTGCGCCGTTGCGTTCCCGTCGCCGGGGTTGCGGGTTTCTTCGTCGTTGCCGTAGTCGACATCGTCATGATCGCCATCGTCCGCGTCGTGACTGCCGTCGTCACCATGATCAGCAACGTCGCCGTGTTCATCGTCGCCGTGCTCGCCAGGTTCTGCCCCTGGCCTCGTCCTGCCGCTCCCGCTCCCTGCTGCCCTGAGCATTTCCTCAAGGTGGAGGGCTCAGGGTGAAACTGAAATCCACATGGGCTTTCGCACCTCGAAAACCAATCCGTCTTGTGATTCACCTTGTGCAAATTCCATCCTCGAACCTCAATCGAAACGGCATTTCAGATTTCACCCTTTGCCCTCCACCCAAAGAAAATGCTCGGGTTGCCGCCTCCCGCGCCTGTTCCTCTCTCCTCCTCTCGGGGGCGGCCAAGAGGGGGGCGTCCAAGAGAGGGAGGGGGCGCAAACCGTGGCCAGGGGCACGTGCGCGGCCCAGGGGGGGGGGGGCCAGGGACGCACACTGAAATAAGCAGAGGCGCCATGCTTTTTGGTTTGGAAATGCTCACGCAGGACGAAGGATGTTCCTTTTAAGGGTGCACATGGCGATGATGAGCTGGAAATCAATGACCGAACCCCCTTCCCCCGTAGAACCTTAACACGGGCAAGTTCTGGGGTCCGCGGATGCGGCTTCTTCCGGTTACCCGTTTCAATATGATAGTTTAAATTCGAAGCGGGGTAAATTCGGATCTGCCGTACAAATAAAACCGAACACGGATCCAACAAATCCAAAATCGGATCCGCGCGGACGGAAATCGGATCCACCGAAGCAGACGCCAAAACCACAATTGGATCCGTGCGAAATTCACGGGATCCGACTCGACGGCGGTCATCTCACGCGCGTCTGCTCAAGACTTCAAGCCGTCGTTCCGGGCCTAAGAGGAAAAAACTTTCGTCCCGGGGATGTACCCCCCTAGTCGTTACACCCCTCTTTGCCGCCCCCTTCCTCGTGGCACGGGGCAGGGAGGCGCCATGTAATTTGGGGAGATAAGGCACCATGAAATTTGAAATGAGAAGAGGCGCCATGAGATTTGGAGAGATATCATGGCCTCCGCCACGATGCCCCCCCCCCCTGGTCATCACCCCCTTTCTGCCGCCCTCGATATCCTCGTGGCACAGGGAGGGGGGATGCGGGGGGGAGCACGAGCACGAGTACGACTTTAAGGACGGCGTCCTGGTAAGATTAAGTCGGGCGTGTCCCTCTACAGAAGGAACATTCAAAAATAGTCAAAAATACTCTGGGTACGATTTTTTAGCATTCGTTTTATAATTAGTGTTGGACATGGTTTGAGTGCTTTTATTTTTCGTCCAAAATCCGCATGTAGGGGGACATTCCCGACCTAATGCTAAAATAAACCATCCTACACGTGCGAAAGACACAGGACGGCCATACATACGCTTCCCACAGGCACTCAAAGCCTTCGGCTGGCCACGCACCGATCAAGACACTGCGCTCTTGTGGGACTGATCCTGCAAATGCGCATCTAGCCACATTCTCGTAACTGAGCGCTAGCGCAATATCCGCCGCCTGTGTAACTCCACAGACGGATCTTACTATGGCATGCCACGCATGAGACTCGTGAATGCGCCCACCAGCTACGTAAAACTTAAGTAGTGGGGGGTTCTGAAAGAGCGTGCCATCACAACTTAACCATGTTTGGAAACATGGGGACGTGCGCCATTCAGGGAGGCGGTGCTTGGCAGCGGAACCTCTACAGACGAAACGGGAGGGGAACGCCGGGGAAGGACGGGAACTGAGGGCCTGTGCTCCAAACCGGCCCCAATGCAATTGGCCCCGACACTGGACTCATGGCCCATCCCATTGACCTCCTGCCTAATTCTTATGCTCCCGTCACAGGCCGACTCCTGCCCTCCTCTTTTTTCAGGTTGCTCATGGTCCCTCTCCAGTGGATTTCGCTGCGGATCCCCCTCCAACTCCAGCTCCCACTCATGGCCCGCGTGCTCCTCCTTATCTCCCCTCTCGCCCCGTACTTCCTCCCCGGCGACGGGTGCCCCCAACTGCTCATCAGCGCGCGCCGCTCTTCAGCGTCCTGCTCACCTCCCCACTTCGGACTTCATGGAGGTCGCAGCCCTTCCAGACGAGGCACTCTGCCGCTGCCTTCTCGCTCCCCCCTCCTCGGGGCCCTCGCCGCGGGGGAAAAGTGGCAGCCCGCTTCCGCTCGGCAGCTGCGGCTGCTGTCTCCGCTCGGAGCACGCGCCCCTGATCCTGGAGGCGCGGGAGGCGCCGTGGCCTCGACCTCCAGAGAGGATACAACAACCTGTATAGACGGGTGGCCCGGCGCCGATCCCAAAAAGCCCGCGCGGATCTCCGAGAACAGCCAGAGCCGTTTTGCCGTTTTGTCTTCTGCAGCGTTTTGCTCTGCGGCCTCAGCAGGCTCAGGAGCAAAAGGCGAAAGAGGGCGGAACTCCCGGCAGTTCCTGGCGCCTTGTGCCGCCGCCTCCTCCTCCGCCTCCTCCTCCTCCTCTGCCACCGAGCGCGAGCGGCGGGTGATGCCCTACCCGTTCCCCAAACACGTGGGCAGCACGCTCTGGGCGCAGCTCCCGCGCAGCGCTCCCCCCTGGCTGCGCGGGGGGAGCGGGCAGGGCAGCGCTCCTGGGAGGAGGAGGAGGAGGAGAAGGAGGAGGAGGAGGAGGAGGAGGAGGAGGAGGAGGAGGAGGAGGGGGAGGGGGAGGGGGAGGGGAAGGGGGAGGAGGAGGAGGAGGAGGAGGGGAGGAGGAGGAGGAGGAGGGGGGGGGAGGAGGAGGAGGATGAGGGGGAGGGGTGAGGCGGGAGGAGGAGGAGGAGGAGGAGGAGGAGGAGGAGGAGGAGGAGGGAGGAGGAGGAGGAGGAGGCTGCCACGCGCGCCGGCGGGCGTGCGCGCGCACGGTCGATGAGAGGTCGGAGCCTGGCGGTGGGGGCGCTGGCCCCGCCCGCGCGGGCCCGCGCGGCGGCGGCGGGGGGCGCCCGGGAGCGAGGCCGCGCAGGCGGGCGCGGCCGGGCCCGGCCGCGAGGGCGCCTCGCGGCCGGGCGGCGAGCAGCGAGCGGGCGGGCGGCGGACGGCAGCGGCGGCGGGGAACGAGGACGGTGGCGACGACCGCGGACGGCGGCGGCGGGGAGAAGGACGGCGACGAGGACCACGAGGAGGAGGAGGAGGGCGACGAGGGCGTCGGTGGCGGCGGCGGCCGCGGAGGAGCCGAGTGGCGCAGCGGGCGGGGTCGCAGGGTCCTACTCCCACTCCGCCTCCCCGGCCTTCCTCGCGGGAAGGGGGGAGCGAGAAGGGCGAGAGAGGGCTTGGACTGTTCAAGGACTCGGCTACACGCAAGAGCGACACTGGGTAATTAAGAGCGACCTTTGGTGCGCAGCTTTCTGGGGGCCGCGCAAGCCGATGCTATCGCACCACGCTCGGCGATGGGGGGACCACAGTGGGCCCGCTCCGAAGGTCACTCCGGCGAAAGGCTATTCCTACGTGCAGTCGACGGCCTTGCCTTGTTCGTCGTTGTGCGGGTGTTTGTTCCTGCTGGATGAGATCCAGGATGCT